ACTCCCCAAGTCCCCTGCGCATAACTCCCCCAAATTGCCACAGTATATAACGTCTTTTTGTTTTTACATGATCTGCGAAGCTGATCGTGTTTTGCAGAAAAAAGTATGTCCCTTTCCCAGTAGTCTGAAAACCGCCCCCTGAAACGCAATAGTTTAGACGACCCAAATTATCTAATCCCTCAAAACAGAACGACATAATCCCCACAGTTGATTCCTCAAGTTCCCCAAAAGTCCACCCCGTCCTTCCACAAAGGGCCAAATACATCTCTTACTCCCCCCCTACACTGACTAGTGTACGGCACTAAAGAACAATTACGATGCGGGTTTGGACACAGCACATACACACACACACTCGGGATCGTTACTAGTAATAGCACACCGTAGCGGGATGGGTGTACCTCCTGAAACGAGACCACCAGGTGTTATCTGAATCACTCTCTTGGGACGGGGTTTCATGGCGAACCTTGAGGATATGTATTATGACTGAACACAGGTCCGGAGACGCCCTGTCATGTGTATATATATGTATGTATGTATTGTATGTACGCATGTATATATGTATGTACGTAGGTATGTATGTCGACCAGGGGAGTTGTTCACGGTGTACTTAACGGTGTACTGCAGGTGGCCTACCGAATTTATCGATCCAGTTGTCAACGTTTATTTGGATTGACATTGAGTGAGCATTGCCGGGCGGGATAGGATCAGCGCTGCTGAAGGCCCCGCCCGCTCGGCGGCTGCGGTGCAAAGATCCAAATCACGACAATGTGAAGAATGGAAGTTACGGGTTCTCCCATCTCCCATCTCGTAGCATCCTGGGCACTTCATGACCGCGAACACCTCCATCCACTTCACAGCCCTGGGCACTTCACACGCCCATCCATCTGTTGGTGGACGCCGCCGCCGTGAGCACACACCACGACGATTGTCGTCTTCCGCGATCCTGTCCATTCGTCGACATGGATGCAAGTGAGTCGAATGCAAGCAGAGCCCATGCAAGACAAGAAAACTTGCCTGTCGGGCTTGTTTGCGGGTGACGAGGACTGGGAAGAAAGGCCCGCACTTAATGGTTACTGTTCATGGCCATTCACATATGTAGAGACGACTGCAGCAGGTTTCCACGTCTCCGTACATTCCCCGCTGCCCTCTGCACGCCGCCATCACCACCAGCAGAGCAACCCGGCGGGTGCCGCATTCCCCTAGCGCAACCTAGGATTAGAATGACCATGTCACTGTCCTGTAATGATGAAAACATGCGGTGGGTCAGCAAACCGGCACTCGAGTCCGCAGCAGAGAACTGCACTGCCTCTTCACGAGTCTAGGACTAATCATTAATCTAGGATACGCGCGAGCTCAAAATTGTAAAATGTAATTGCCAAACGTCGCCGCTCTATGTTCCCATCTGTCGTCAATCTCGCTAAGTCTCATTCTGTGCTCCATCACTGCGCTCCGTGTCCGAGATGCTGCGACCTAGGAGTGCTGAGCTACCGCAAGGTCCGTCACTCCCATCCGCACACTAAACCGGGCCGTTCGTTGCGCCTCCAATGTTTATGTCTACGCATCCTGCTTCCCCGCCGGATTAGTCCTCTTGCGCCCTCATCAACCCCTTTAAAACCCTGTTTATCGTGGTTCCTTCTAGATGTATCGTCTCGAGCAGGTGTCATTGTAACATAACTTCAAGACTTTTCCATCATGTGAAGTATTTTTGCAAAGCTCTATTTCCTCCAGTTGCAGCAAGCAGACTCCGTATCACCAGGACGGAGTGGATACAGCAAGCCGGGAAATGAAGAAGTAGGACAACAAGGGAGGCGCCGAAACACAAACCTAACTGCACACGCCGCACGCCCCGCGCATGGTGTTGCTTACAGCGGCAGCTGGTCCGGCGGAGAGGCTCAACTATAACGTAACACGCGTTCCGTTAACAACCACCACACCTTCAGACGCCCAGCACCGTGGTGCCTAACCGCGGTGTCTTGCTATTGCTCCCAGTGCTCCTCTCCCCCTCTCTTTCTCTCGGTCTTTGTTCATCCCCCAAAACCCCCCGCGTGTCGAGGAAATGGGCGGTACGAGGTTGTCCCTAAAGGGGATGACGCACGTCTTCCATACGTTCCCAATGCGGCTCAGGGTATCTACGCCTAGTGCCAGGTTCCTCCGGAGCTTAAGTGACCTATAAAAATGGAGTAATACCAGTAATAAGCCGAAAGGGTTTGGCCGCCTGTTGGGCAACTGCGGCGCAGCCGCTCAGTAGTTAGTTAGTTAGTTAGTTAATTAGAGCTCCCGCCCGCCACGCCTGCAGGTATGTGGTGATATCTTCAAACCCGAAGCAAGCAGGTCGGTTGGGTTGCGATCTGGCGGCCTCGAATATGCTCGCGCACATAACGCGACCACTGCTATGCCCGCATAGCGTAGCAATCACGGAAAATAAACCATGAAACTGTCAAACTAACTAATACCAAACTAGCAGCAAGTTATGCAATTCCTAAGCTGGGGATGAAGTCGCGTGGCAAATTGCTGCCGACGTTTAGAGATATGTAGCAGCAGCAGCAGCGGCAGGGGCGGCGGAAGCTAAAGCACTGGGTTTAGTACCGAGTTGACCCGCTAGAAGCCAGAAGCTACATGACGTTTATAAAACTACAGCGGCGGTCTGGCTCCTTCATCCCCACCGCACATCGCCCCGCGCTTCCCGTCTATCCAGCAGTGTCATCCTGTAACTACCTACGTACCTACCTAGCTGGCTACCTAGTCGAAAACTGAGTGGACCTCACAACTGACAAGATCTGCAGTGCTGCTGCTGCTACTACTGCTATTACACCACGCTCGACCGCACGTAGAGCATCTGTTAGAGCATCTGTTCGTACTCGTATTTGACACCCCTACAAACTGCACGATGCGCTGCACGATCTGCTGCTGCTTGCTACTGCTGTTGCTACGCCTACGCTACGCCTGCTACTGAACGCCATTGTTGTCACTGC